GCTAGGCTGACACCATGGCACTCTAGCCCGGGCAACAGAGTAAGACTGTCTCAAAAAAAAAAAAAAAAAGGTGGGACTGGGTCTCCTAGATTCATTGTCAAGCCTTGATGTAGCCACTCAGTTAAACCATTCATTTCTTGGCCTCCGTCTCCCATTTGAGACACATTTTTCTCCAGGGCCCTGTGGCACTGGGACAGGTGCCCTCAATACAAAACTCTCCTGATGTGCCCAGAACTGGTGCTGGAGAAAATACTGGGTTTCCCTGGCAGCAGGCCGTGTGGGGGCATCAGGGAGGAGCTGCACTCCCAGGCATTAGGGGTTGAGAACGGAACAGTTGCTTGCTACCGGGCTATGGCGCCAGCTCTGTCCGAGCTATAGGAGTTGTGCCAGGAATGGTGGTGGACAGTTGAACGCGTGGTGAAGGCTACCTTAGAAGACTATAATTAAGGCCCTAATTTGATACCCCACTTACTCTTGGCTTAGGAATATAATTTCTTTACTATGTGAAGTTTTCTGAGTCTTTTTAGTGACAGTATTGGACAGTTCTTTTAACCTGCTGCTGTACTTGTCACTTCTGCTGATGAAGGCAGATGGGGTTTTCACAGAGGTAGTGTCAAGGGAGTTTCAGAATTCCCTTAGGTAGAAGGTTGTCCTTCCAACAAAATTAGACCTCGCTTCAACAATTTATTAATATTTTCTGTTTCCCAGGTGGCTGACCCAGTTGTCACGTTTTGTGAGACGGTGGTGGAAACATCCTCTCTCAAGTGCTTTGCTGAAACACCCAATAAGAAGTAAGCTGGGATCACAGTGTCCCTGGGGCTGACAGCCTCAAGAACACTCCCCCTTATCCCCCAACTCCACCCCAACCACAGCACTGTGGAAAAAGAGACCTCTGAGTCCAAACCTTACTTTTTAAAGACTGGTCAATTCAAATGAAAGGAGACAGAAGATGACCCCTTTTTACTCTACCCTGCCCCTGTGGCTTTCCCTGCTGTCGCTGGCTCAGCTGTCCATTGTGTTACCCTTTCCTTAGGATGTCCCTTCTGCTAGTCCTGTTAACCCTCATCATTGCCCATTTCCATTCTGACTAGGAACAAGATCACCATGATTGCTGAGCCTCTTGAGAAGGGCCTCGCCGAGGACATAGAGAATGAGGTGGTCCAGATCACGTGGAACAGGTGAGAAAGTGGCTCTGATGTCAGGGCTGAAGGCAGATGGGGACGGCATGGCTTACCTGCTAGCTCTCTTAATACCACACCTCTCTGGAAAATGTTTGTGTCTCCCCACTTTGCTGTCCTGGACACAGCGTGGGTAGGATGAGGTGACTGTCCTCCAGAAAGGGCGGGTCTGTGGCCCCAGGAGCCAGCAATCACAGAGCAGTCTGCTACCTCCATTTTCCCCTCCTTTCCCCAGGAAGAAGCTGGGAGAGTTCTTCCAGACCAAGTACGACTGGGATCTGCTGGCTGCCCGTTCCATTTGGGCTTTTGGCCCAGATGCCACTGGCCCCAACATCCTGGTGGATGATACTCTGCCCTCTGAGGTATAGTGGAACTGATGGGAACCATGTTGTGGTGTCCTAGCTCTTGAGTGGAAGAAACTACAGAGTGTTCTTCTTTTCCCAAAAGTGTTTTTTGTCCTCTGGTAAAGGAGAGCATCCCCTTACAGGTGTTCTATCTTCTTCCTCTAAACTCTTCTGCTATTGTCAGGGTGACTGCTAAGGAGGCCTCATGTTTCTGTGCAGGTGGATAAGGCCCTTCTCGGCTCAGTGAAAGACAGCATCGTTCAAGGTTTCCAGTGGGGAACCAGGGAGGGACCCCTCTGTGATGAGCGTAAGTCCACCAGTACCTCCCGTAGCCTGGTCCTTGAGGGTCCTTGCACCTGGAGGGACAGCGGGGGGGCGGGGCTCACTGTCTTTGGGACCTCACAGGAAAATCAGCATGGGCCACACAGGGCCATCCCATGACCTGGGCCAGCTTCCCATCTTTTTCTCTGTCCTGGGACCTCTGTTTGGTACATCCTGGAAATGTAAGTCGTTTCTAGTCTGGCATTTGCTCCTCATTCCTGAGAAGGATCTGGCTTTGGGTGTGTTTGAGGAAGGATATCAAGAGGATGATGAGATGGGAGTAGTTTATAAGCCCTGATTGAACTTCATGAGACTAAATGTGCAATTCCTAGTATTCCTACACCAAGAAAATGTAATGATCAGCAGAAGATGCACATAAACTTCTAGGAAAGCTCTATATGTCTGAGTGTGGTCTGAAGCAACACTAAGAACATGTGCTTAACTTCTGGCCTCGGTGTCCCAGGCCTGTCTTACTCAGAACAGCCACCTCCAGTGTAATTTTGTACCATGTCTCCTGGGGCTGCAAGACAGCTGCGGTGAGCAGGAAACTCTGCTCTGCCATGGCCCTGTGATGAGCACCAGTACCTTTCCTCAGCCAGCTGCCCCATCTCCTTTGCAGTGATTCGGAACGTCAAGTTTAAGATCCTGGATGCAGTGGTTGCCCAGGAGCCCCTGCACCGGGGCGGGGGCCAGATCATCCCCACGGCCAGGAGAGTTGTCTACTCTGCCTTCCTTATGGTAAGAGTGCGGCTGTAGGGGACTCTGCCTCCCTGGACAGGGAGCGAAGTGGAAGACAAGTTTTGGGGGCCTCAAGACTACAGTCCCCAGCCTTCCCTCCATAGAGGGTCTTGCTTCTCCGCCTTCCCCTGCTGAGGAGCCTTTCTTCCTGCTCTGTTGCAGGCCACTCCTCGTCTCATGGAGCCTTACTACTTTGTGGAGGTCCAGGCCCCTGCAGATTGTGTCTCTGCAGTTTATACTGTCCTGGCCAGGCGCAGGTGAGCAGCTGCAGGCGTGTTGGGGACAGTGCTGAGAGAGTAGCCGAGCAAGAAGCACCTCGCCCCTGCCAGCAGGAGAGATTGGCCTCCCCCACCCTCTCCATGCCAGAAACTCAGCTGGTTTCCCAGAAGGAAGTAGAAAATGAATGAGGCAATCCCCAGCTTTTGTACAGATTAAAATTTGATTATTTCTTCCTGAGTCCCCTCCCCAGAGAGCTACTATGGGAAGTGCTGAGGCAAGTCAATGGTGGGAATGTCTGTAGGCCTTGTCCTGTCACTGTTTACACTCCTGTCATCTGCCCAGAGCTCACTGCCCCTTGACTTCACAGGGAATTGTGTTGAGTCCCCCAAGCCTCTGCTATCTGTAGGGCATTCTTAGTTATTCTTTCTTTGATGGTAACTCTTGGCTGGGATGCATTTGGGGGCAGCAAAAGCCATATTGCCACTTGGCTTTTGGCCTCTGTATGACTAGGGACTCAGCCTTTGTTTTTCTGTCTCAGGGGGCATGTGACTCAGGACGCACCCATTCCAGGCTCCCCTCTGTATACCATCAAAGCTTTCATCCCAGCCATCGACTCTTTTGGCTTTGAGACTGATCTCCGGACTCATACCCAGGGACAAGCCTTTTCCTTGTCTGTCTTCCACCATTGGCAGGTGAGAAAACAGTGCAACTGATCTCCTTCTGGCCTGTTGCCCTTCCAGGCCTACAGTGAGACATGCAGCATCCTAGAGAAGAGTCCTGCTTCTGGGCCTGAGGCCTCTGGGAAGCTGCCTCAGCCATCTGAAATCAATCCCTTTGCCTTTCAGATTGTACCTGGTGATCCTCTGGACAAGAGCATTGTCATTCGCCCCTTGGAGCCACAGCCCGCTCCTCACCTGGCCCGGGAATTCATGATCAAAACTCGTCGTAGAAAGGTATGTGTCCCTCAGACCTATAGCCATCCCTCAACCCCTGGGGCTCCCAGCAGGAGCTAGAGCTCTCTTTACTTCTTCTCAAGGGACCCTTTTCCAATGTAGAGATTTGCTTCTGTGCACTCTTTGGGCAACCAGACCTGGGGCCCACTCTGCTGGGGAAAGAAGGCCTTCGCCTCCAATGTGATAATACCCTAAAGGCAGTGCTCCTAAAACAGCCCCACCTAAGCTCTAGCCACCACCAGCCTCCCCCTTGAACACAGGTCTTGGATGCCCCACCCCCCCCCAGCTTAGCCAGCCACCAACCAGATAGGGCTCACTCTTGCACGTGCCCTCCTTCTATGCAGGGCCTCAGTGAAGACGTGAGCATCAGCAAGTTCTTTGACGATCCTATGTTGCTGGAGCTCGCCAAACAGGACGTTGTGCTCAATTACCCCATGTGAGCGAGGGACTCCTGGCAGCTCCTGCTCCCTACAGTGGACTGCAGTTCTTGGACTTGAAACTGAGACCTGGTGGGACTCGGCCTTCCTGTCGTCAGCAAGTATCTGGGAGTTGCCGTTGCCATCTTGAACAACCCACAAACCTCCAGCCCAGAACCCCAGTGAGGGAGGAGCATTTGGCCTCCTGTTTCTTTCTGTGGCCTCTGCCTGGCTCCATTCCCAGGGAACAGAGTGGAGCTTGGGCTCAGGGAAAGGGAAAGAGATGAAACAAAACCCCAAGGGGTCCTGTCTTTGGGATTTACATGGAATTTTATTTTTTACATGTTTGACCTTATCCATGGTTTATAAGTGAACAGAACATTCTGACTCCTGCCTTGCTCTGCTTCTTTCATCCCCCTCGCCCTGTCTAGTCCTGGCGCTTACATTCTGAATATATGTCACCTCCCAGGAGGCTTCATCGCCTCTGCTCCCAGCTGCAGCCTGCTTCCTGCCTAGGTCCCCAGGGAAGCAGCCTGTGGTAGGAGGAACATATGCAGTGTTCCCATGAGCATCGAGGCCCTTCTACTACCCTCACCCTCCCACTCCCACTCCTTGCTGCTTCTGGGTGGGACCGAGGTAGCGTTGTGGGGTTCCTGGGATCAGAGGTCTACACGCCACCCACCTCTTTGGGAGACCGCTGCCCCTTAAGAATCGCCCTTGCCCTGGAGTTGGCGTACAGAACACTAATTTCCAGCTGTTTGCTCCAGGTCCTCTCCCCAGCCACCACCAGTCCCTTACTCTGTTTTCCCCCCATGAAGAAGAGCCTGTTGATTTTCCTAAAAACTACTTTATTAGGAGCATTCCTGGGATTGGTTTAGGGGGCATCTGACTGCCCCTGATTCTATAGGAGACCTACTTCTCTCCAGCATCCTGTCCTGTCCTCTTGACATAATCTTTGTACATTGTGTACACAGCACCTATGTGAGGGAAAAGAGAAAAACACCCCTTGGCATTGAACCCTTCACCCGTCCCTGGCTCTCCCAGGTGTCCACCTCCAGCTGCTCCCTCGAGACTCCCACTTCCCCGCTCGTGTTTCTGCCCCAGGACCCAACAGCTGCTCCAAGCATCTGACCACACAGCCTGGGGAACAACCCATCTGACAGTTCAGGAAGCACATTCATGTGCATTATATATCCGTGAGAAACCTCACAGCAACCTGTGAAGTAGGCCAGCCAGGGGTAGTTATCGTCATGTAATACACAAGGAAACTGAGGCTTAGTGAGAGGGCTTTGTCCACTGTCACGCAGCACGTGGCTGTCTGCTTTTTGATCCAGAGGGGAAGAGAAATTCAGTATGTGTTCTGCTACTTGATTTTTTTCACCTCTAGAGCAAACTGTCATAAAACACTGGGCACCATCCACACAGGCCTGGATTAGGAGATGAAAGAGGGAACCCTAAAAATGTCTCAGTATCAGGGCTTCACCAAGGATTCGATGTAGACCCCAGTATAGGGATCAGGGACTTAAGTCATGGTCCTTTTAGCTGGCAGAAGTCAAAGCCAAACTGGCTTTGCCATATCTGTTTTGCCCTCAATTCTCTGACCCCACCAAACTACTCACCTAGCATGATCGCGCCCACAGCACAGGCCTGTGCTGCCACGCGTGTGTGAATCAGGTGAATGGACATCTTGGTAGAGCCCCGAGCCTTCAGCCGGTAAATCCTGTACGCTGCTACCACCAAGCAGCCGCCTAAGCCTGTGGTCAGAGAACATGACCCCTGGGCCACAGCCACCAAGCACAGTGTTCCCCTGACAAGCGATTCCTCACTTGTCAGGCAGGGCACCCGAATAAACAGCTGCTTTCATGCACCTTTGTGCAACAGTGGGAGTGGGGGTCATTTGAATAGTGACTTTCCCTTCAATGTCATTTTTAAAATGACTGCATCCTCCAATGATGTCCCTCCCCCACATACAAATAGCCCATCGTCACGCCTGCCCCCGCCTCAGCTCTGCTCTGGGCCCTGCTCCAACCGCCACTGGCTCCGGATCCTGGTACAGCTGTTCTACTTTCCCAGGGCCTGGAAGAAGGAAGCCCTGGAGGACCCCAAACTGCCCCTCTGACCCTTCCCATCCTGGCTCTGGTGTTGGTGCCCCAAGTTTCTCCATATCCCAGGTACTCAGTGGGCCACCATGTCCACCCACCCAGACTCATTTCATTGTAAGGGTTTGTCCCTTGGCACTTTTTCTACTGGTTCCCTTGTTCAGGGGGTAGGACCACTTGAGTTCTCTGACCTCTGCTTCATTCTCCTTTGAAAGCACCAGGAGACATGATGTCTCAAGCCTCCTCCCCACCCATCGTTCCATTCTCCACTCACCTATAGGCACCAGTGGAGATTCCCGGGTCTTCCTCAGGAACTTCTCAGACACAGTGTCCTCGCCCTCCGATGGCACCCACCAGCCTTTGTTAGCAGACATAATCCTGGGCCCAGATGTTAATAGCTGGGGTTCCTCGGCTTCTGCCTAGTCCTGGTAGGAGGCACCCTACAGTTACGAACTTCAATTCTCAGTCTGGCATGGAAAGGAGGGGGTTACCTGCTAAGACCCTCCCTTACCATGCCAAGCACAGCCTCTTGAAAAGATGTCCTTCCCAGGTGTCCTGTCTCAGGGGGCTGGACCACTAGTGCCATTTCTCCATCTCATCTTCCTAACATCTGCCTCCTCCCCAGCCCATTTCGACTTCACTGTCTCCTCTGCTTCCCCTTCCCCCAACTGCATCCTTGTGGGTGTGATCCTTGGGCCAAGAAAAACAGCTGGAAAAATCCACATATGAGGATGGGAGAAACAGTCCTTGAGCCTTGTGGCCTTGGGTTTGTGAAAGTTGCTCCCGAGAGAGCCAGAACCATCCCAGACAGTGTTACAGCACTGGCTACCAAGTCACCAGAGCCAGAGATTTGAATGATCTGACATGGGTTTGTGTATAGTTTAGCCTATATTTTGCATATTAATACTAAAAGGATAGTAGCTCTTTCCTGAGCTGCTACTCTGTTTCTAGGTCCCTCTTTTTCCATGTTCTTCACAATTACCCACCTGCTAACTCTATCCCTAGGCTAGAAACCCTGTCGCTCCACTTGCTAACCCCTGTAAATGTCTGCTCTGATCACAAACTAGACAGAGTCCCAGAGTACCAAACCTCAGACCAGGGGTTCTGCCAGTGGGATGCCTTCTAAGTCTGACCATGAGACAATCCCTGTTTGAGACAACTATTCCTAGTTGGCCCTCCTCTGCTGGAGGAGCAATGACAGGTAGCCCCACCGGCCCTTGGCATGCTGGTGCTTACCCTAGGAGATGACTAGAAAGTAGAGAGCGAGCAGCCAGGCCAGGGCTCAGCGTCTGCTGTTTTGAACTGGCTAAGAGCTGTTGATGGAGCTGCCACTATGGGGTCAGGGAAGCAGTGACTTGGGCTTTATGGCGACTTTGAAGTCAGAGATGGAGAGGGGAGGAGATAGGACAGGGCATCAGTCTTAACCCCCCATCTGCTGAGTTCCAAGCCAGAGCTCCAGGCGCTAGAAAGTAATGAAAGGCCAGATGGAGGGGAGCCCCTAACTAGATTCAGTCTTCTAGTTCCCACGGATGTAAGTGGCTGGGTCAGAGACTGGCTTAATGTGGAGAACTGAGATAGAGATATTAAGGCAAGGATGGGAAGAGACCCTGGGTTCTCTCCCAAGTTATACTGCCTTGGATACAATTTTTTGTTGGGAGGGGAAGACCAGGTCTCTGTTGCCCAGGCTGGAGTGCAGTGTCCCAATCAGTTTACTGCAAACTCAAGTGGTCCTCCTGCCTCAATCTCCCAAGTAGCTGGGGCTACAGGCATGTGCCACTACACTCAGCTTTTTAGAAAAACTTTTTGCAGAGGGCAGATGTGGTGGCTCACATCTGTAATCCTAGCACTCTGGGAGGCCGCGGCGGAAGGATTGCTTGAGCTCAGGAGTTTGAGACCAGCCTGAGCAAGAGCGAGACCCCATCTCTACTAAAAATAGAAAAATTAGCTGGGTGACGTGGTGCGAGCCTGTAGTCCCAATTACTGGGGGTGCTGAGGCAGGAGGATCTCTTGGGCTCAGGAGTTTGAGGTTGCAGTGAGCTATAATGATACCACTGGACTCTACCCACAGCAACAGGTTGAGACTCTGTCTCAAAAAAAAAAAAAAAAGAAGAAGAAGAAGGAAATTGAAAGCCCCTCCAATAAACTTTTTTTCTTTCTTAGAGATGGGATCTCATTATGTTTCCCAGACTAGTCTTAAACTCCTGGTCTCAAGCAATTCTCCCACCTCAGCCTCCCAAAGTGCTGGGATTACAGGTGTGAGCCACCCTGTCTGGCCCAGATACTCTTATGAACAATGTGGGATATAAACAAAGTACCCTAGTTGTAAGAGACAGGCTCCCTGGTCTTAGTCTTATTTTTTTTTTTTATTTTATCTTTTTTTTTCTTTCTTTATTAAAATATAAAGAATTTTAACTTTTTAGTTATATCTTTTTTTCTGTTCAGGTGTGGTTACAGCCTGGTCTTAGTCTTGATCTCTTCAAAGATGCTTTCCAGACCAGAGAGATTTATCCAGGAGTTTAAAACAAAACTGGACTGACTTTCCTCATGTCTCCAGAGCTCTGTATATCATCTGTGGGGCTGATGCCCACTCAGGTTGCGAGGATGGCAATGACTGCCGTTGGCACTATTCTATACTTGAGATCTATTCAGGCCTCTCAACTATTCTATATGGGAAGTAGCAGTTTGTTCACAAAGGAACGGACCTTCAGAGAAGCTAAATGGCTTTTCTGAGGATACACAGCCAGTAAGTGGCAGTTTCATGATCTGAATTCAGGTCTGGCTGGCTCCAGTTTGCACTCTTGACTGCAATACCAACTGTCAGGGAGCCAGCCAGACTGAAACCCTCAGCACCAGATTCTTGATTAGGAGAAGAAAAAGTATGTGCTAAGCAAATGGGAAAAGATAGGGAGCACCAGTGAGAGTCCCACACCATCCCAAGCCTTTGTTCCTTCCCTAGATGACTCAGCCCCATATAACTGTCCTAGAAGGGCTTTTTCAGCACTGGAAATTTGTCCAGCAGCTGATGTCCCTCCTCTCTCCCCAACACTCACTGCTCTAGGAAGAAACCCAGGGTCACAGCAACTCCCCAGGGCCTACCCATATCCCCAGCGTCCATGGGAACTCTCCTCCCAGCCTTTCACACACACCCTCCTGTGTGCCTCTCTGGGTCCCAACAGTGGCCTGAATTCTCAAGAAATGGATTGTATATGCCCTCACTGGTCTGGGCCACAGTGGGGGGGATGAAAATGTCTGTGTGAGGCTGCAGGAATCAGGATCAACTCCAAGTCCTTTGAAGAACAAGGACCAAACTATGGAGAGTGAAATTCAGCTTCTTCCTACTGGGATTATGTTGATGCGCACACAGCATGCCAGCTTCAAACTAAGAAATGATAATAATTGCTATGATTTACTGAGTACCTTCTATGGGCTGATTGCTTTATGTAGATTACTCCTTACAATAACTATGTGGTAGGTAGTATTATTATCCCCATTTCACAGATGAAAAACTGAGGCTCTGTTTAATGTCTTGCCCAAGGTCAATAAGTGACATAAAAAAGTCCAGAATTCTAACCACTCCTAAAATTATATCTCACTGCTCTGGACTAACCTGGGAGAAGTTGTGTAAAGTGGAGGGGAAGTCTTAAAATAGAAAAACTATAAGCCGAGTCAGTGGCTCCTGCCTATAATTCCAGCTACCCAGGAGGGTGGTTTGAGCCCAGGAATTCCAGGCTGTCGTGAGCTATGATCATGCCCCTGCTGCACTCCAGCCTGGGTGACAGCAAGACCCCATCTCTAAGATAAAAGAAAATTGCTTTTTTTCTTTTTATTTCAAAAACTTCTGAGAACATACAGTAACTAAAACTTCAAGGGTCAGATTTCTGTGGAGTCCTGCTTTAGTAAACAGAGAAGATAAAATTATGATAGCATCATTTTTGTTAAGAAGCCAAGTCTTTAATAATTGTTTTCCATTTATACATTTCTGCATTAGTAATTTACTTATAAACCTCTTTTTCTTCCAAATCAGGGCACACCAATAGAAATTCTGATTTAGAGGGGTCTAAATGAATGATGCAGACAGACTTAGTGTAGGCAGAGTCAACCCTGGGATCAATTAGCCCATACACCAACTAAGTATTTGGTTATGCCATGCAATCTCTTTGAGTCTATGACCTCAGCCATAAAATTGAGGTAGCATCTACCCATAGGATTATTGTAAGGACTCCACAGGATGATTGCTAGAATTCCTCTGTATACTTCTGCTCCTCTTCCTCCGGATGGAGCAAGTGGCAGGGAATGGGTAGCAGCAGGCTGGGGAGAAATGGAGAGTCCCTGACAACAGATGGCAGGGTTGACATATTCTGTGTGGTCCCTTTCTCATCCCCTCCCCCAGTTTCCCCATCCTCCTGGGCTTCCTCACCCTAACTGTGTTGGAGGGGAAGGGATGGGGGCAGGGGCGACCAAGGCTTGAAGCTCTCAATACACTCTAAGGCACAGCTGTGCTATATATAGCCCAACAGAGCTGAGTGACCAAACAGGGGAGGGGAGGGACATGTAGCTTTTGCCTTGAGCTAATGAGAGCTGTGAGTGAGGGGATGATGAAGAATGAACTAGACAAGGAACAGATCCTTCCAGTTGCATTTGAAATGGGAAGAACCCGGGTTGAAGGGCTGGGGGAATCATGGGGGAGCAAACGTTAGTGGTGTCTGGGGGACTGGAGGGGGGTAACAGGAAGAGGCTGTGGAAGTTTCCAGATAAAGTAGCTAGGCAGAGGCAGCCCTAGGGGGGAAGAGGGTAATACCCCTCTCCTTTTGAAAATAGGTGATGGTTTCTTTTTTCTTTTCTTTTCTTTTTTTTTTTTTTTTTGAGACAGAGTCTTGCTTTGTTACCCAGGCTAGAGTGAGTGCTGTGGCGTCAGCCTAGCTCACAGCAACCTCAAACTCCTGGGCTCAAGTGATCCTCCTGCCTTAGCCTCCCTAGTAGCTGGGACTACAGGCATGCGCCACCATGACCAGCTAATTTTTTTTTCTATATATATTAGTTGGCCAGTTAATTTCTTTCTATTTTTAGTAGAGACAGGGTCTCGTTCAGGCTGGTTTTGAACTCCTGACCTCGAGCAATCCTCCCACCTCAGCCTCCCAGAGTGCTAGGATTACAAGTGTGAGCCACCTTGCCCAGCCAGGTGGTGGTTTCTTGCCTGATGGTAAAAAATAAAAATAAAATATACCTTTTCCAGCATTCAAGATGTCGAAGTGAGGACGTGCTGGGTCCTCTGGTGTGAAATTCCAGGTTTCCCTGGTCCTTCCGATAGGAGCCGTGATCAACTGTGCTGACAACACAGGAGCCAGAAACCTATACATGACCAAGGGATAATTGAACAGAATTCCCACTGCTGGTATGGGTGACATGGTGATGGCCACAGTTAAAAAAGGCAAACAAGAGCTTAGAAAAGGGCCGGGCATGGTGGCTCACACCGGTAATCCTAGCACTTTGGGAGGCTGAGGTGGGAGGATTGCTCGAGGTCAGGAGTTCAAAACCAGCCTGACCAACAGCGAGACCCTGTCTCTACTATAAATAGAGAGAAATTAATTGGACAACTAAAAATATATAGAAAAAATTAGCTGGGCATGGTGGCACATGCCTGTAGTCCCGGCTACTTGGGAGGCTGAGGCAGCAGGATCGCCTGAGCCTAGGAATTTGAGGTTGCTATGAGCTAGGCTGATGCCACGGCACTCTAGCCTGGGGAGTAGAGTGAGATTCTGTTTCAGAAAAAAAAAAAAGCTCAGAAAAAAGGTACATCCAGCAGCGGTAATTCGACAACGAAAGTTGTACCAGAGAAAAGATGGTGTGTTTCTTCATTTTGAAGATAATGCAGGAATTATAGTGAACAACAAAGGTGAGATGAAATGTTCTGCCATTACAGGACCCGTTGCAAAGGAGTGTGCAGACTTGCGGCCCAGGATTGCGTCCAATGCTGGCAGCATTGAATGATTCTCCAGTATATTTGCAAAAAACATTAAAAAGTATTTGCTAAGCCGGGCGCCAGTGGCTCACGCCTGTAATCCTAGCTCTCTGGGAGGCCAAGGTGGGTGGATTGCTCGAGGTCAGGAGTTCAAAACCAGCTGCAGAAAAGAGCCTATTTCTTATACTATAGAAAATTAATTGGCAACTAATTTATAACAAAGCCCGGCATGGTGGCGCATGCCTGTAGCCAGCTACTAGGGAGGCTTGAGGCAGAAGGTTGTTTGGCCGATTTTGTGGTGAGCAGGCTGATGCCAGGCATGCTTTTAGCCTGGGCAAGCGAGACTTCTGTCAAAAACAGATTTTGCTCACCCACCCAAAAATACTACATAAAAAATAAAGACGGTGGTAAGGTTACTTTGTAGTTGTCAGGAAGCCAGAAGCACAGCCTAGGAAGGACGTGCCTTGTTGTACCTGCTATCTTTCTTGGGACTGTTTCCTATTTAAATTTTTTGAGACGAGTCTCACTTTGTTTGCCCAGGCTAGGTGAGTTGCGTGGCGCACCCTAGCTTCACAGCACCTACTCCTGGGCTCAAGCAATCTCCTGCATCAGCTCCATAGCTGGACCGACAGCATTGTTGCCCATGCCGGCTTTTTTCTATATATAGTGGCCATTAATTTATTTCTATATCAGTAGCAGTGGGGTCTCACTCTTGTCAGGATGGGTTTTGACTTCCTGATACCTCGAGCAATCCGCCGCCTTGGCCTCAGAAGTGCTTAGGTTAGGCCATGCAGCCCCCGCCGGCCACCGATAATTTAGTTTTAAGAGGCGTGATGTGGTGAATTGGAAGCGAATCGATGCAGTTGCTTGACTTTCGAATCATGCATTATAGAATAGCATTGAAAGGAACACTGAGGCAAATAGGGACCTGTGTCAGATGACAAAAGGGTGCTCCCAGAAGATTTGATGTTTGTAAGGTTTCTTTCCATGTTCTGTGCTTTGATATCACTACCGCTTCTCAAACACCCAGGGGGATAGGTACTCGTAGCGACAGTTCATATTATACCCCTTGGAGGCCGGTGAGAGGATACTTGGCCAGGAGTTCCAGTGGTTTCCGGAACAGCCCGAGCAAATTGTGAGACCTACCCCCCATCTTCTCAATAACTGAAAAGGATTTAATGTGTTTGGTTTTTTTTTAGATGGGGTCTCGATATCCAGGGCTAGCCTCATCTCCTGGGGCTTGAGTGATCCCTCCTACCTCAAGCTCCTATAGGCTGGGATATCGGCTGTTGCCCGCATTCTGGCTAAGGGGACTAATGTCTTGAGAGCCCACAAGGTTTAGATAATTTTCATATTTCGTTTAATCTTCACAATCCAAGGGTAGGATGTCATATTTTTCAGATTTGCGGAGCCAAGTTTCAAAGAATTTAAGTTACTCAGATCACATCAGGCAATAATGTAAGGACTAAGCTATCCAAACCAATAGTGGGGATACCCTACAAACTTTTACAATAAGACAAATGTACATATAAAAGGTTATGTGATGTATACTTCATTCTCATCCATTCTCACCATCTTAAATACAGTAATGTTGGGCGTGGTTGGTGTCCGCTGCTATCTAGACTGGAGGCAGGAGGCGGCATTGCTTCGAGGTCGGGTTCGGAAACCAGACTGAGGGACCCTCTCTACTGAAAACTAGAAGTTATTGACACTATATATATAAAAAGTTAGCTGGAGCATGGCTGGGCATGCCTGTTATCCAGCTACTCGGGGAGGCTGAGGCCAGTTAGGATCACTTGAGCCCAGGATTTGAGGTTGCTGTGGTAGGCTGCGCCCGGCACTTCACTGTAGCCCTGGGAAAAGTGAGACTCTGTCTCAAAAAAAAAAATACAAGTAAATGCCATCTGCTTTCCCGTGGAGGGGAAAAATACAAATAAACAAGAGTGCAAACAGCTGGGCAGAGTGCACTTTTGAACTCAGGGCTTTCAAACATTCAAGGACTACTCACTTCTCACCAAGACAGGGTCAGTCCTGGGCCAATGCACTGTGTTCAGGGCTGTCCAGAAGTCCCTGCCTGGTGGGTGGTATCACAGCAGGTCTCCTTAACTCTCCCCAAGCCCCACCTTCACATTCTGAACATACTATAATACATCTGCCCCTCCCTCTAAGGAAATTGACCTTAATTTAAATTCAGCATTAATACACAAGAAACTGCTAACAGGGCCCCCAGGAGATACCTGGTGGGAGGCTGTTTTATATACATTCTATACTACTTGTATTACCTATTCAAGATTGTTTTTTGACAACAAAAAAAAATCTGCTTCAGCCAACATCCCTGTGGACAAGGGCGGAGAAAGCAGTATAATGTGTCCCACAGGTTAACCGAAACTGCTAGGGATTAGTGGAGAGGGAGGGCAGTGAGGGCAGTTTGTGCTACTAATACCTCTCTCCCATTAGCAGGAGTCATCAAGAACTTCTTTAACAATTCTTCCTTACTCTCCAGCCAGCCTGGGGCAGACATCAGGACTCCCTCCTGCCAACAAGGAGTAGTCTCAAAACCTACCTCTTTGGGCCTCTATTTCTATCCTCCAAGACGGGAATCTGCTCTGAGTTTACCAGACAAGTGGGGACCCTGGAAAATGTGTAATGGAAATAGTGACACACTGTAGCCTTCAAGTTGACCCTACTGTTCCCAAACCACAGAGCCCCAGGGTGACTCTCAAGTTCTCAAATTGGGTTTTGATCTTTTCCTGCCTGGGCCCCATGTGAATTAAAAGTGACTGGTTCTCACAGCACCGGGATCCACCACTCCCTGCTGGAGCTGGAAACCAGACCCATTTCCCTATTGGAAACTCGGGGCTTTTTCCCCACTTCCTTCCAGTAGCCTGTTTTTTTGTCCTAGGAATGGTGAGCCTTCATTCACTCAGCATATATTACTAAGTACCTACTATGTGGGAGGCTCTGTTCTAGGAGCTGAGACACAGTGCCCCTGTCTTCAGGGAGCTCACATCCTATTGGACAACCTGGTTTGCTCTTGATCTTGGTGAATGTTTGGGCCCAAGAGTCTCTGGGCTAGGTTTCTGACCTAAGTTTCCCCACCTGTAATGGGATTTAAGGATGTCACTAGCTGGCAAGGGGACAGAAAAGAGAAAGAAGAGTCCCGACAAGAAGAAAAGAGCCTTAGGTTATCTTTCTGATTTTTAAACTACCTACAGGTAGAACAACTTAGCTTCTTTGGGTCTAATTTTTACAATCTTTAAACGCTGCAGACTTGGTAGTAATGTAACAGATTTACTAAGTGAGTGTATTGTTTCCAATCTCCATGAAGAATAGGCAATAACAAAAGATAGGAAGTCTTCCCTGGCAAGTTTATTCATGAATTTACAGGAAGATAATACCTAATGAACATTTGCATAGGTATAAAAATTATACACATTTATTTGTATATCTTTATTATTTGTATATCATATACATATATAATCAATGCTTTCATACGACTTTAAAAGGTTTTTAAGGAAGTCTTAATAAGCCACAGAAAAGTACACTTTCAAAAGAATGCAGGTCTGCCTGGCGCAGTGGCTCACACCTGTAATGGCGCAGTGGCTCACACCTGTAATCCTAGCACTGTGGGAGGCAGAGGCAGGCGGATTGCTCGAGGTCAGGAGTTCGAAACCAGCCTGAGCAAGAGTGAGACCCCGTCTCTACTATAAATAGAAAGAAATTAATTGGCCAACTAATACATATAGAAAAAATTAGCCGGGCATGGTGGTGCATGCCTGTAGTCCCAGCTACTCGGGAGGCTGAGGCAGGAGGATTGCTTGAGTCCAGGAGTTTGAGGTTGCTGTGACCTAGGCTGACGCCACGGCACTCACTCTAGCCTGGGCAACAAAGTGAGACTCTGTCTCAAAAAACAAAACAAAAATAAGAAAAGAATGAAGGTCAATGTATCACCTGAACACACCTGTGTATTCAGCATCCCAATCAAGAACAACAGGACCAGTCCGTCAAAAGCCCCTTCATATTCTCTTCTACTAACTATCCTGCGTGACAGATAACCATTACCCTTACTTCTAACAGCATGGATTAGTTTGTGCCTTTATTTGAACTTTATATAAATGGAAACTTTTGTGAGATTCATCTATCTTGTAATTATAGATTGTTCATTCTCATTGCTGCATAATGTACCATTTTGTGAATATAACACAATTTATCCTTTCTATGGTTGATGGGCATTTTGGGTAGTTTCCAGTTTTTTGGCTGTTATGAAGAGTGCTGCTATGAATACTCTGATGTGAGTATTTTGGTGAACCTTTGTACACACCTCCGTGGAATTTCCACGGAATTTCAAAGTCACAGTGTATTCATTCATAGGTCAGCTTTAGTAGTGTAGGGGCAGAAAGGTGTGATACCTTTCCTCACCAATCATAAGAGTCACAGTTGACACACCTATAACAAAAGTTATATTAACAAAAGAAAAACATAACAAAGTTTTTTATTTTTATTTTTTTTTTGAGACAGAGTCTTGCTTTGTTGCCCAAGCTAGAGTGAGTGCCATGGCGTCAGCCTAGCTCACAGCAACCTCAAACTCCTGGGCTCAAGCAATCCTTCTGCCTCAGCCTCCCGAGTAGCTGGGACTACAGGCATGCATGCGCCACCATGCCTGGCTAATTTTTTCTATATATATTAGTTGGCCAATTAATTTCTTTTATTTATAGTAGAGACAGGGTCTCATTCTTGCTCAGGCTGGTTTTGAACTCCTGACCTCAAGCAATCTGCCCGCCTTGGCCTCCCAGAGTGCTAGGATTACAGGCATGAGCCACCGCACCCGGCCAAATTTTTTTATTTTTTATTATTTTTTTTGAGACAGAGCCTCACTTTGTTACCCAGGCTACAGTGAGTGCCATGGTGTCAGCCTAGCTCACAGCAACCTCAATCTCCTGGGCTCAAGCGATCCTACTGCCTCAGCCTCCTGAGTAGCTGGGACTACAGGCATGTGCCACCATGCCCGGCTAAATTTTTGTATAGATATTTTTAGTTGGTCAATT